GGGGGGGGGGGGGAGAGGGGTGGCTGCTCAGGGTGCCCTCTGCTCGGGGCTTACCCTGCTCGCTGCTGTGGCCGGGGCTGCCCCACTCCCCAAGCATTTTCTCTGCCTCTGGCTCACTTGTGTCTGACATACAAAGGATACGTTTATGGGACCAGAAAGCCAACCTTACAAAATAGTTGTTTAACAACTTAAACATCGTTTTCTTCATCCAAAAGCATTGACCTTCATGTACCTTCAGAAAGCTGGGGTGTTTGGAACCTTTGAACCACCAAGTTAACTGCTCTGCACACTTCACCATTAATGCTGTCCAAGGAGCAGCAGTCTCGGCTCCTGGGATGTAACTACCACTCCCCTGAGCTAATGTCCTCACAGGCTTTTTAATGGACTTTATTTCTGGGCATAGTTTTAGGTTCATGGCAAAATGGTCTTCAACATGTTTTTCTGAAAAAGACCAATTTTTTAATGGACTTCTGGTTGCTATATCTTGCAGGATAACATGATGAATTGACACTTAACTGTTGGCATGTGGCTACCATTGAAATCTAAAAATAAAGGCCTTCGGAATCAGATTAAATGGATCACAAAGCTGGCCGTGACCAAGCACGGAGCCTCACTCACTGAGCGCTTGGGAAATGGAGAAGAGCCGTGAATTCAGGCTCGTGCCCAAACCCTGCCGTGTAACCCCTGGGATGCCAGCAATGCCTGCTGGCCAGGTCCTGAGTGAGTAGCAAACTCTCTCAGGAGCAACAGCAGAAACCTCACTGCAGCCCTTCCTTTGCGGTGACTGGCTGTGCTGGGTAGTCAGACGGTTTTAGCTGCCGACACCTCCTCTTGGGTGGCCATGGACATGAGCCACTAGGGACAGGCAGAGGCGGGAGGAGATGCCAACATGGCCTACGGGTGCAGCTGTGTCTTCCGTGAACCTAGAGTCCTTGTGGGCTCCATAGGAACCACATATACCTTGAGCCGCAGTGCACAGAAAAGCTCCCTTAATTACTTCCTCTGTCAAAAACATTTCTTTTCTAACTTTTTGGGCAGATCTGAAGTGGCTTAACAATTCACCCAAGAATCTCAGTTCCTGGAAAAATACATGTAAAAACGACAACTCAGGAACCCGGTGTGGAATGAGTAAAACTGTAACAATCACCCTGGCCAGTTTGGCTCAGTGGATAGAGCGTTGGCCCTCGGACTGAAGGGTCCTGGGTTCAGTTCTGGTCAAGGGCACACACCTGGTTTGCAGGCTCAATCCCTGGCCCTGGTTGGAGTGTGTGCAGGAGGCAGCTGATCAATGTGTCTCTCTCATATCCATGTTTCTCTGTCTCTCCCCCTCCCTTCCCCTCTCTCTAAAAAATTAATGGATTATCAATGAAACAATATCCTTGGATGAGGATTAACAGCGACAAAAACAAAACAAAACACCCCACCAAAAAAACCCCAAAACAAAACTGTAAGAAACCAACATTACATGATATGAAATCATGAACGCTATTCGTGTACATTAACATGGTGACAGCGTTTAAACACCAGGAACGGCAGCACCGAGAACCCCATGGGTCCAAGTCCTGTGCTGTGTGTTTGCTCAAATGCCACAGCACAGGCCTTACTAGATGCCCGGTCGCCTGGCAACAGTAACAGTGAGGCCCACATCACACCAGGACCAGGACTGCACAGGGTGGTCCTTCAGATGATTTGGAATACATTTTGCTCAACTCAGTGGTTCTCAACCTTCTGGCCCTTTAAATACAGTTCCTCATGCTGTGACCCAACCATAAAATTATTTTCGTTGCTACTTCATAACTGTAATGTCGCTACTGTTATGAATCGTCATGTAAATATCTGATATGCAGGATGGTCTTAGGCGACCCCTGTGAAAGGGTCGTTCGACCGCCAAAGGGGTCTCGACCCACAGGTTGAGAACCGCTGGAACTGGTTTGGGATTTGTGAGTGATCTGGATGGTGTATGGGGAGTGTGTAAATACTGACGAGAACCTATGGAGTCCTTTTCTTTCTAGACAAAATGCTAATTGTATAAGAACTACGTGCCCCCTAAAGTCCTCTGTGGGATCCATAATATAACATGCATCTTCCAGGTAACGAAGGGAAATGCTGACCGTCTACCTGACCAGCCCAGGTCACGTACAGAGTGAGGCGGGGACCGGGGCTGGTGGGGGGGACCGGGGTCTGGTGCGGATGCCTCCGAAGGGAGCCTCACATTTTTCCTTCCACGGGCTGTCTGCCAGCTTCACGTCACACACAGGTGTGCTTCCTCCAGGCAGCCTGTCTCACTGAGCCGTGCTCCTGAGTGCCTGGCACACGGCGTGGCCCTTTGCAGAACTCAGCAATGTGTCAGGAATTTGTACGGGTTAATCATCTAGGTCTCCATCATAGTCAGAGCTTTGTTAGGTCAAGATGGTCCTTTCTCTCAGTTTGTGTAAAACACACAGATCTGGATACTGGCACTTGCAGAAATCACTCCACAGAGACGCCGCTGGACTGGCGGGGCCTGGCATGGTAAGGCTCCCGGGTGATTCTAATGCCCGGCCAGAGTTTAGAATATATGGTCAGCGATCACCTTTCAAGTTCACAAAAGAACTGGTTTATTAGAGACCAAGATTAAAGACCCTTATCTCACTAAGTGATTAATCTTTAACCACTGAGGCTCTAGGTTTTGACTCTTGTAAATTCGGCCATTAATAGTAAATTACATTGTGCCTGGCCGGTGTGCTCAGTGGTTCAATGACGACCTATGAACCAGGAGGTCATGGTTCGATTCCTGGTCAGGGCACATGCCTGGGTTTCAGGCTTGATCCCCAGTAGGAGGCATGCAGGAGGCAGTTGGTCAATGATTCTCTCATCACTGATGTTTCTCTCTCTCTCTCCCTTCCTCTCTGAAATCAATAAAAATAGATTTTAAAAAGGTAGTACATTACATTGTGCTTAAAACAACCCTTCGCCCCTGGGCTGGGGATGGCCTGGGCTGCGCTGGTGCTGGGGTCTAACCTACCACCTTCACGTTCCAGGGCCAACCTCCTTTCTTCTCCTCCTCATTGTTCAGAAAGTTGGTAGCAGAATGCAACGTTATGCTTTTTGAATAATCAATAGGTCAGATGTTAATGATCTCATTTTACACTTAGAATATGTAAGTAAATTGGGATGAGGTTTAATTTGGTTTTTATTCCCTTGCATAATTCTTGCATTAGGAACCTGCTTATGCTTTTTTTAACAAGGAAAAGAGTACTTTGATTATTTTCTATGTCTATGGACCTAGTTTTATAGTCTATGAATCTTTAGTAGAAGCTTAGACTATGAGGTGCAAACTTTGTAACTACAATGCCTCTGAATGCCTTCCTGGAAAGAGACTATTTTAGAATAATGGCAACAAGGAAGGTCCACAATTCAAATCATGCTGGGCATTACGGATAAGGAGTTTGGAACCATTTAAGCCAAAATGTTTGATTTAGTTAGATAACATATGGGTAGGGCTTTAAAAGGTGGTTAAGTGAGCAAATATTGTAAGAGTTTACATATAATTATGAAATTACTAGATGAATAAAAGTAATAGAATGAAAGGGAAAATGCAATTGCGAAGTGCTACCACTTACAACTCCTTCCAGAACTTATGGTCCACGTAACTGAGTTCCTATGCCTTCAGGACATATTTCAGGAGATTACCATTATTAACTCAAAGCCCTACGTTTTTAGAGAGTGGATGTGAAAGGTGGCATTTCTCAGTGGCTGCTGGCTCCGGGCAGGTGACTGAGCTGACAGGTGCCCTCCAGGCCCTACTGCCTACTGCACAGGACTCCTCCTTCCGTCTGTGTAACTCCAACCTCCGGGAACATCGCTTTCAGTGCATTCACTCGTGGGGAGAGGCATATGTTACCTGGTCAGTTCACCTTAGTAAATAAAACTGTCCAGAGCGCAAACACTCCTGCCCTTCCTTTCAAGATGTCTTAAAGCCCCGGCAGCTGCTGGTTAGTGAGCAAGCTGTCTGACGCAATGCTACCAGTTACTTTAAAACGTCAGCTTTTCTATGTGGAATTCAACCCTTTCTGCTGGTTTGTCCACGCAGATGGGGCCCACGGTGGACAAAGCTGTGTTATTTACAAGTTTAAATGAAGGTCACGTCCCTTGTAAGCTGGCCGCCAGCTACGCCGCCGCACAAAGCTGCTGCTGTCCGCTCGTCCCTTCCCTGATCTGGACACAGGACACCACGACTCACCCTGAGTGGATGGGGCTGGAAGAAAGGGCCACATTGTCCAGGTGCTCGGGGCCCCAGCTGAGGCGGTAGGCGCTCCTCTCCGCCTCCTTGGCGAGCGCTGACACCTGCACACAAAGGACACGGCTCAGGGACACGGCTCTCTGCCTTCCCTCCGACGACAAGGCGCCCGCCTCGGGAAGGGGCACCTCAGACAGTGGCACTGCCTGGAAAAGCCCCTCTGAAATGTGAGGCCGAGGTGCTCAGGTACTTGGTAACACAGTCCCGCTTAGAATGTTATTGATGTTGGATCACTGTCGCTGTCTTTGAAGAGGGTGGGTGTCCGTGGACCCAGCCAGCCTGAACTCTAACATCCTACCCAATGCCAGTATTTCCTAATAAACGACACCTTTTCTCTAGATAACCACCTAACACGGAGACGCAGGTGGCCGCGCCGTTCATCTCAGGCCTCGGACGGACGCACCTCCCCGCCCCACCCTCTAATGGAGGCCTCCTGGAGGAGTCGGTGTTCATACTCAATCTCCACAGAGGAGCTCAATAGCTGGAGAAACAAGCAGCACATTGTTTTAGAAAAACTCTGCTATTGAGAAATCTAGGGAACATTTTCCGTGTTTTAGGAAAAAATCCTCAAATCTCTTACCCTAGCCCATAACTAGCTCAGCTGATTTGTTGTTTTTTTTTTAGACGAAAAGGCTTTCTCTGGCTCTTTCCTGCAGCCGGTGATGCTCCCTCCCTCCCCGCCGAGGGAACAAGGTGCGCCCGCAGTCACGTACCTGGTGGCTGGGGATCACAACGGTGTCGTCGATCATGGCGCTGTCCCTCAGGTAGGAGGCGTGGCTCAGGGTGTGCGACCTGTCGGAACTGAAGGACCGGAGGCTGGCAGGTGAGCAGAGGCCGTGGTCACGCGCCCACGGTGGGGCAGGGCAGGGAGGAGGGCATGGCGAGCCGGGCAGGAGAGCGAAGAGAGCGTGCAGTTAGCTGCCGGGACCTTCCTGGGGACAGGCCGCGGTGCAGGGAGGACGCGGGCTCTGTGCCACCCGTCCCCGTCACCCCGAGGGAACACACCCTCTGCCCGGCTCTGCCACCCAATGGCAGGGGCCCCAGGGGACCAGGAGTTAGAATCTGACACTCCTGATCTGACTCCTGCTCTCCCCAGAAAGGTTTGAGGCCGGCAACTGGCGCTCACAAGCCGCCGGCACACAAATTCACGCAGGAAATAACTGCAGGGCTGATCTCTAACATCTGAGCCACATGTTCATCGCCCTGCGACTGGGAAGTATCAGGGGACAGCCAGCCCGAGGCGAGAACAGGTGACAGGCAGGTTTCCGTGGGCCCTCACCCGTCCTGCGCGGCGGTGACCGAGGGCCGGGAACCCCGGGAGGCAGGGATGGGGACAGCCGCATGCAGACTTCCTGAGGAAATAGCCCCTGGCTGTGTCCCGCATGGCCACTCAGAGGCCAGCACTGACCCTCGCATGTCCTGTGCTGCGCACAACGTCGCGGACGGGCGGGTCGCTGTGCGATGACACAGGCACACAGAAAGCGTTTCTAAGCACCGACCAGACCCAGACACGTCAGCCAGCACAAAGCAACTGCCAGGGGGAGACCGGGGGAGGCTGGTTCACACGGGCTCAGGCCTGGACAGCTAAGGCTTTTGTGAGATCTGAACGTCAGAGCTCTGAGCCATATGCTCCGATGTGAGGAGTGAAAACTGACATTCTCATAGATGAAGTTACATTCCTTCCCAGCCCACTTGCATGCTCAACTGACCAATGGGTGGATAGCTTCAGTGAGCGGACTTTCATGCGTGTCAGCCCAGGTCTAAAGATCTACATTCAAAGTATCGGCCCACAGCCCACAGCCCACAGGGGGCTGAGCCATGGTCCCGCGGTGTCTACAGGCGCCAAGGCGTGCACCCTGCAGCCGGCAGGTGTGGCCGTGAGGCGTGTGGAATTGTGAACTGAATGTCGAGCTGGCCCCCTTATCAGCAACTGTTCTCATTTTGCAACTACACCTAATTCTGTAAGCCACACACTGACCTTCACGAGGTGTCAGCCGAGCCAGCCCGTTGTCTCTGAGAAACTGCTGCTGGGCGGTATTTTGGGGGGGGGGGGGGGGGGGGGGGGGGGGGGGGGCTTCTCCCCGCCCCGCTCCAGGCTTTACACCCGAGCATTACAGGTGCGACGTGACACGAGTCCGAGGAGGGACTGCCTGACCTGAGCGTTTACACCTACACGAACCGCGTGTTTCTGCTAAGATGGAATCTAGGCCGAGTGTGAGAGGTCCCTCTCTTATGTTTCCCAGGCTCCTGGTGAAGACAGAGGGTCTAGACAGCCCAGGGCAGCAGGGCACCACGGGGCCACTAGGGCTCAGTCCTGGGGGCAGGGCAACCCCACTTATAGGTGTGCCTTGGGTTTCAACAGTGCACATTCCATAATGGGGTGCAGGGCACTGTGAGTGACCTTAGCCTGGCCTTGAATTGGGGGTGGGGTTAAATTACTGGGGCAGGAGGGTCTTTCATTTCAGCCAATCTTGTCTCCCTTAAGGAATGGAATAACTTTTTCTCCTGCTTTAAACTGCAGACACTTGAGCTTCGCATTGGACTCTCCCTGCTCTGGTGAGAAGTGGGCCAAGGGAGAGGCAACACAGCGGGCGCCTCCGGAAGTGCCAGGGCCGTCCCGGGCCCCACCAGCCCCCGGGGCTCCGCAGGCTGACCTGCTCATCCATCATCTCCCTCCACGGCTTTGGACTGCGAAGACCCAGACGGCGACTTCCAGGGTTACAGGCACTAGATTGACGTAGGCGGGCGGGGCCCCAGGCTCAGGGCGGAGGCCTGCTCCCCACAGCAGGCGGACACGCCCACCAGGTAGGACTGGCCTTGACATGCAGCCCTGGGGCAGGGGCAACAGGTCGGCAGGGATAGGAGCAGACCCCACGGTAAACACAGGGCCTCGACCAGACCTCGTGACGCGGCTGCTGCCATGGTCCAACGTAGACAGAGGCAGCTGGGACTGGATTCCACTCCCAGGGACACAGCACCACTGGCTGTCTGTCCACTTTAGGGGTGAGGGATTAAGGGGCTCATTTGGCCCTTAAGATGTGAAGCCACATTCTGCCGTCACTGTGGCCACCTGCCTAACCCAGGGTCAATCTCCCCGCTGGTATGCACCCCAAGGAGCAGAGGGGAGGTGGTGTTATTTTTTTGTCATTCTTGAAGCCCCAAGAGGAAAGGAATAGAGAGAGAGAAGAAAGGAAAGGAAGAGACGAGGTAACACAACCACAAAGAGAGATTAGGGCAGAGAGAGAGAGAGGGGGAGAGAGAGGGGGGGGAGAGAGAGATTAGGATATGTGGACAGAGGGGGGGGACAGCTGGAAGGAGAATGAATCCACTGGAACCATCTGTCTGCATGTCTCTCTACCTGTGGGATTTTATTCTGGCTCACTCTGCATCCTACAGTGCTAATTATTATTGAGGCAATGCTTATGGTTTTGAATTGCTCTTCTGTTCTATTTAGTTACAGACATATTGAAGTGAAAAAATGTTAAGTATTCCAATAGCAGAGAATTATTCTCTCTGAAGGAAAAAATGACCAGCACAGGAGTCTAGAATAATTCACATCTCTGGCCCAGAAACTCTTCATTTGATCTGAAACATTACAAACAAGTTAAAAACAATAGAGTGGCCATGTTTTTTGCATTAAGTCAGAGGCCGCAGTCTGCGGTGGATGAGTTTCCAAGACCATGGCATGGAGCCACAGGAGTGGCCATTCCCACCTGCGGGTCGGCTAAGATGTGCTGAAGGCTCGTTATGACCTAAACGCAGACTTCCCTCTGGCACGCTGCTTTACAGACACACGTTAGGTTGTATCCAAGTCCATTCAGTCCCCTGAGAAGGGCAGTGATGACAAATACTTCTTAGACGTTCAGTCATGGTGTCCTCAAGCCCCACGGAAGAAGCAAACACTGACAAGTGTGCATGTGTTTGCTCTCGCCCAGGGAGCAGCTTCCGTGGCTCACTGCCGGGTAGTGCTTTACACTGAATCTGGGTAGCATTTCAGCGTGAAGCACGAATAAAATAAAACGGAAGCAAAACCCAGTCGACTGTGTTCTCATCGCCGCACATCAAAATTGTGGATCTATTTTTAGTCTCCTGTGCGCCCACAGACACTTCAGGCATCACTGCGATCTTTCTATCATCTCAGCTGCACACGGGCTAATTGGGTTCCTTGCTGGAGCCACACTAACGCCCCCCAACCACAGGGGGCGCTGTGACAGGTGAATTCATGCCGGGCTTGTTCTAGTTTTCATTCTATTAACACATGTACCTTCCAGCCCAAGGAACTACTCAATTTAATACATAAAAACCCTAATTTGAGAATACACCCATGATTCCAGAATGGAAGCGCCCCTGTGAACACAGCACGCACACGCACATCGAGCAGGGAGCAGGGAAATGGATGGGCCGGGAGGGTTATGCTGCCAGCCACGGGCACCTACCTGGGCACGGCACTATTGGAGGCACCAAACAGAGAAACAACGAGAAGGTAAATGGTTACCAACAAAGGTAACATATTGAATTGTCTAAGCAAAACAAACACACAGACAACCGTGAACGGAGCCACTGCCTGCAGTTCCATCCGAGATGGCAGGTGGCGGCCTCCTGCTCTGGAAAAGCAACTGGGGCTGAGACCCCACCGCCCGTCTCCCACCCTGTCCTGACCTGCTGACCCGCGTCAGTCTAAGCAGGATGGGCCAGCCTCGGAGCCCGGCTCTACGGAAAGCATCGCTCTATTCCTCCCAACCCGAGTCCTTCCAGAGGACAAGGGATCCACTCGAGCACTGGTTTCTAATAAAAAAGACGAGGCTGAAAAGAAAGACCTCCCGGCTGACAGCATGCCTATCCATGGACTATTGGGAATGTGCCCAGACATCAACAACTCACTTATTAAAACCTGAAGTCTTTAAGGATCTCAGAGCGTGATGTCCGCATCCATCCGCGTGTCAGAGTTCACACGGAGCACGCCCGTCACCAGTCCCCGAGGGCCCCCTCCGGCAGCCTGACCCCAGGACTCCGTCTCATCTTCCTCTGCTCACCCAGCCTGAGGCCCTCCACCAGGGCTGGCCGGGCTCAAATCCCCGACTGTGATCACTGAGCTCAGAGTTCGAGTCTTCACACCAGCTCAACCGGCAGCAGCCGCCCGCCGAGTCCTCTGGCACCGCCCTGTAGGATGGGTCTCCTATCCCACCTCAGAGGGACCCCGCCCGGCATGCAGACGTCACCGCCTCCTTCACTGCACTCAGCACCCACTGAGGAACACCATTCCTCCCCAACCAGGAGCCCTGCCTTGGGATCTGATAAGACCTTGAAGCCCTCCCCACCCTCCCTCCCCGCCACCAGGGCCCCGCACCCCCAGCCTCCCCGCCACCAGGGCCCCCTGGCACCCCCAGCCTGGCCTCTCCCACCCGCTGGGCTAGGAATTCAGCCATTAGTCGTATCTTAGTCACGTCTCTACCTGCAGCGCCCAGGCAAGGCCGGCCCAGGGGGATGCAGGTCACGGGCACCCTGAGCTATTTTAGAAAATGGGGGGTGGGGGGGGGCAGCACTGGCGTGCAGGGAAAAAACCCAAGAAAACTCTGTGTCTATCCGTTTAGAAATGCCTCCCCTTTGGGGCATGGGTTTCCTGGACTCAACATGCCGGACACAGCGTAGAAACGCCAAGATGACAGGTGCCAACTGAGATGACTGAGGAGCAGAGACACTGCGTGCACTTCAGGCCGACCACACGCACACCCACACCACAGCCCTGCTTCTGATGGGGAGCCGTGTTCTTCCTCAGAACTGAACAGCCGCCGAGTGCGGGGCAGTAGCACCCAAAAGCAGCGCTGCTCTGGTATTGCAGACGCCCATCGCCGCCCAGATCGGCCCATCAACCGGCTCCTGCAGGTCCGGCTCCGAGTGCGGTGCCAGGCCCTGGTGGGTTGTCCTGCCTCCTCCTCCCATCGCGTCTCTGGCCCTCCCTCCAGACAAGCTTCTGCTCACAGAAATGACAGCATCCACCGACACCGGGGCTCAGAGGGCCCACAGGCAGAAACGTCCTTTTTACTGGGCTACAGGGAGGTGGCCGGTGACTGGAAACCTCTACTTAAAGGGGGACGTCTCTGCTCCTTATAGCTGCTCGCGTTACTATTTAATCTCTCCAGGCCTCAGTTTCCCACATTGACGTGGTGAGGAAGCAGGGAACCGCTAATGCCAAGAGGGGGTTTCCTCTGAGTGTCAGCACCGCGCCTGCTTTCTTATAAATGGAGTGCCCTGGCTCCCCGCTGGAGTGCCCGTGCAAGCCCGCTGGTACCTGTCGGAGCGCCCGCCCTCCAGGCTGTAGCGCAGGTAAGTCAGCCCGTCCAGGAACTGGCTGCTGGGCAGCGAGTCGTCCCCCAGCTCCTTCAGGTCCTCGGGCCGCAGGTACTCCCCGCCGTCCCCTGTCATCGTGTCGTCTCCTGGAAGCACGCGGGGAGAATTACTTGCTGAGTGAGGGCAGCGTGACGAAACCCTGCACAGCAAGGCACGCAGAGCCCGTGTGCCGAAGAGCGTGAACACGCAGAGAAACTGCGTCCGACCCGCATCCCCACTCCTCACCGAGGAGACACCACCACCTGGTTGTAATTCTTTGTTCAGTGTTTTTCCTCATGTCCCTGTCGTGGCAGCTGATTTACAGCCGACGCCAAGTCAACAAGAGGCAACAGCAACCCCCCCCCCCCCCCCAACACGGGCACACAGGACATGCACTGACGCTGCTTGACGGGAAGGACTAACCAGGCCCGAGGGGGCAGAGGCTGCTTCAGGATGGTGCCCACTGGGGGCCTCGGGGAGGGCGGCTGGTTTGGCGACAGGGGCTTTGTAGGGGTGATCAGGTGAGCACTGACATGCAATCTGAGCTGAGGAACCACTGAGCATGTCCTTACAGGACAGGCAGACACGGGACTGCAGGCC